CCTCCTTAAAAATATCACACTTATTCCCCATTTAAAAAGAATTAGTTTAACGAGTACTTAGGTTTGCTGCAACAGGGAGGGTAAAAAGGTATTTTTGTTGAAAAATGTTAATAGTTTAGTAAGAAATGAATGTATTTTCCATGTTTGATCAAAATATGTACATAAACAAGCTAACTACAACAGTTGACTTATTCTCCATAAAAATAACATGGGAATTTTTAATTTACAATTTTTTGGAATTTTCTCCGTAACCATTAGGCGCACAATAACGCTTCAATATACAAAATTATTTGTTTTTTTAAACTCTACAAAATGGTTTGGAAATAAATAGTGAAATTTTGTGTATATAGGGTCAAAAATGGGAAACCCTATTTTTACCCCATAAAACCCCCCCACAACCCCCTCCCCCGTTCTCATAGTTCGGTCATGCTGGTTCGCGAACTCGTTCAAATAAATCTAGATTCACACGGTTATACCTAATGTTCATCAAAATCGGATCATTTTTGCTCGAGTTATCGTGCTAAAGGACACATAAACATATATAGCCTATATTTGAACGGATGGTGTTTTTGGCCTCTAGGGACCTCAAAACGAAAAAGTAAATCGGTACCGGGTCCAGGTCTTACCATGAGTACCACGGTAATAGCTTATTCCCTATATGGAAAATTCGCTAATATTACACAATAAACAATTAATTTACCCCAACATAAAAATGGAAATATTGAATCATCAACGGGGTTCGATTGTTTCATTAATAGTTTATAAAATAAAAAACTGCATGAAATTACTGTACTTTTATTCAGCTTAACCCCAAACATTATCATTGAAGTAGGCCTACACCATAAGACTTATTACGGAAGTAAGTTTTAAGCTATTAGTTCATTGAACTAATTGATGACAGTCTATTTAAAATCAAAGCAAAACTTTCACAAATTCACAGTCAAATAAGACGCATTACAGAAGGAGATTAGTTAAATGTTTCAAGTTATCGCGAAACACAGTTTAATCAAAGTTTGAGAACAAGGCGTTTCTATGACAAACAGCTAAGCTGTTTCCAAGCTTCAACGGCCTTAATTTCATATCAATGATTTAATAGAGGTGGAAATATTCGTATTTCTAAATAGCCCTGAGTAATATTGAAAATGTGAGTGAGTTCTTTTGTTTGCTTTAATTTCACACACATATTATGAAAGGACCTTTGCTTAGGTTTTACCATTGACTATTGGAATAGTCAAAGGTTTTACACAAAGATAGCCAATGTGTTAAGGGGTTGTAAGGAGTTTCGATATTTTTATAGGTTAATGCTTCGTTCCAGTCTTTAAAACGAGCATGGTTCTCATGGTAATTGTTTTTAATTTATATCCATGGGAACAATAAGAAAAAATCTAATGTTTAATATTGTCTATATTTGATTGTTAAACGTTACCATGGTTTTATGAATATGAACTACTGTACATTCGAAAAAGATAAATTAGATTTTTAAGGTAACTAACTTGTTTCCTATAACAGGTTTTTTTTATTGGCACTCAACAGTTTATATTAAGAACGTTACAAACAATTTAGCTTTTCTTCTATCGCTTTCTCACTGGATGATACCTTTGACTATTCGTAGTAAAGTAACAGTATTTTTTGCGTAAAGTAAGTCATTTTCGGCCATATTTAAAGTGCTCTATGCATTTCGTAGTTTAAACATATGGTCTCAAATCTATGTCTATACTTTGATATACAAATCTAATGGTGTCTGTCTGTATGTCTATTGTTATTTAATGTAAAGCTACTGAACCGATTGAGCTTAAACTTTACAAAAATATAGCTACCATACCACGGATGGTCATAGGACTATTCACACTTCGATACTGACCGTGGGCTTTGCCCGTTTAGCTTTAAAAGTTCTGAAGTGAGGATTGCTTATTCCACAATTTAAGACAGCTGATCCAAAGAAATTAAATATTATATTCTACACAACTATGTGGTAGGTTTATTTAATCTAAAACTTGATCATAGATTATTTATTCTAAAACTATGTCAATGATTATAGAAATAAAAGAATATTCTATAACCGTTGCTGTATCAATTCAGGCTCTGCTTTCAATTTCTTTTTAGTCTTAAGTTATGAAAATAATGGGTATTGATATATATTTCTATAAAAATTAGTGGATGAGTAACTATTTTATACAAAAGATGTAAAGATCAAAATGTTCATATTTCGTGTCCCCTTCCCATTGCAAAGCTCGGGTACAACAGCTACTATGTAATAAATCTAATCTATGTAAGAAGTCTCAAATACGACTCATGTTCTACTCGTGTTATGAAATGATACTCTTAGTTCACTTATAAATTCGTAAAACCAAGGAAACCGTTAAACAATCAAATCTAAACAATACTAAACACTATGTCTTTTCTTATTGTTTTCATGGATAATCAATAAATCGTACTTCTATTTAATATTGTTTTATATTAATATTGCAAAGAGAGAGAGTTTTAGGTCTATGAACTGAATAAATAATCAGGTTTGTATTGTAAAGACCAGCGATGGTCCTATAGACAATTTATAGGGCGTATACGTACAATCATGTACAATCATGAAGTAATGAAAGTTGTACCGGAATCTCGATTTTTTTTAAATTACCCACAAATCTAGCTCCAATCAAACTCAAATGACGATCTAGTCTTTGGTTAACAGATAGGCGGTGTCCAGTAACTATTGAAGTACGGACCACAACAGGTGTATACAGGTTCAGGAAGTGTTATCTCAGAGAAGGATGAAAGGTGGATTGGTTCCTCACTCTAGTTTTTTAGAGGTTTCAATAGATAATTGTTTATACCCTTGAAGAAAACCGTTTCGTAATAGTATATTTCGTACCAAGGGCCGAAAATGAGGTTTTGCCGGCTCGAGATAGTTTTTAAGTTCGAGACGAAGTCGAGAACTTAAACGATCGAGAGCTGCAAAACCATTTCGGTCCGTGGTACGAACGCTATTTTTCACCACACTATACCCTATTACCACTATTCACCACTATAATAATGCACACTGATCGTCAACACAACTACAACTTTAGAAATAATTTGAGGAATCAGCAAAAATATAAAGAAATAGTTGCTAGGCAACGGTGACAATAACACAATTCTATATTGCAATGGTATGGATTTTGATTGTGTATTTAAAACGCATTCATGTTCTAAGTAAGTAAGCGGACAGCTGATTTTGCGGCCCCGGCCTGTAAAAACCTGCTCGGTCCCCAAATTGGCGACAGCTGGCATGGCCAGCAAAACGTAACTTTCAGCCACCAATTAACGTATGTAATACAGCCAAAAACATCATAGTGTGGTGAAAAAGCTTGTAAGAAACCCGTTACGCACACTGTGTTCTTATTGCACGATACAGTATAGTGTCAAGAAGGCGTTGAAAATGTATTTCAGCCAAACTAAGGACTTTTGTAACCGGCATCCAGGCAATAGACTAATTTGGCCGTGGGATTTTTCTTCTCGACAACCCCTTTCAAATTTGGGCTGATATTTCTCTTCAAATAAATTCTTAGTTGACAGTATGAAGGTAGGTTTCAAAGCATAAATAGTTCTTTCTTGATACATTTTGTAAATGTTTAAGATTTTGTGTACACACTATCCAAGATTTAATGCTGATTTGGGGGGATCAAAGATAATACTGTAAGACAAACTATAACTATTCTGAGATTACCAAAGTAACAGAAGATCGCATACTGTAGGAAGTGAATTTTGTAAACTAAGTCTTCATCTATTAATTAATCTGTAGTTTGGGAAGCTCATTATTTAAGAGTTTTCCTTGAAGGATGTAAGTATGTATCTCTACTGTAGACTATTTCTGAGAAGATGAATTTTGTCAGCAGCAAACTGTGTTGACATTTTAGTGAAATAAATTTCAGAATATTGTTTCCAAACACTACGAATGGGAAACACCAAGAATTAAGCTATTTAATCCTCCGTATTAAATGGCTTATCTTTACTTTTTCTATTGATACTGAATCTTTTCCACGTTTGATCATTTTTGATTTGTTGAATACATTCGCTTTTCCTGTCTGCCTTGAAATCATGCTCGAAAGTTTATTTTCTTGAAAATTCATATGTAGTAGCCTAACTACAATAATATTAAAGATAGAATACTCCTACATTTAGTGGAGTAACACTAAAAGATCAAAGCTTTTGACTGTATGAACGTACGTATTTATCAGTTGGTCATACTGGTAGCCATTATTATTAGAGGATACCATAGTAATGTAAGAAATTAAATACTAATATTAAGGTGTTGAAGTTAAAGCTCTATGAGAGAAACATCTAGGAATTATAAATAAAAAATCACACTTCGGGAAAATTCCAAGGAGATAAGCACTTGAGCCCTGCAGCACATTGATATGTAGACGAACAAAATCTCATGAAGAACTCAGCAAGGCAGCGCTCACTGGCTCTTTGTTCCATAGCTAAAGACTTTTCTTCTCATCAGTAGTCTTACTTGACTTATTTCCTGTCGCTCCTTAGCGGGAGCATAGGGCATCGAGAAGAGCTCGCCATCCATCCCTGTCCTGTGCCGGATCCCTCAGCTGACCCCAGGTACTTGCCTGCATTTAAGGTCCCAGAAATTAAATTATCCCACTCACTCTTACAAGATCACTATGGATTTCGTTTCTTTAGAATGGTACACAAGCATATCCAAATTACATGAATTAAAAATATCATTAATCAATCGACCCATTACATCTTCTACTTCAAACGTCCAACCGAAAATCGAATTCTCTTCCCAAATTCGAGTGCATCTGCAAACTGTCAACAGGGACGTCGTAGCCTCTAATTACATTTTAAAATCTAATAATATTTTGATAACGGTGGAAGGTGGTGGAACGATTGAGATATCGGCGCTAATGATTGGCGTATGGCTGGGGGAGGAATGGTTGGAGGGACGGGGGTGGAGGTGGTAGTGGGTGGAGAGGGTGGCCCAGGATCTGTTCCCAGGCTGACTTGTTGCGCACCTAGCCTAGCCTATGGATGTCCTGGATTACCTCCTTACAAGGTTAGTAAACCTGTTCTTTGTTGCTTTTGCATCTCATTATTAAATCTAAGAGTCTGTTAATCCCATTCTAAGTCAACTCCAATATGGACGCTGCGAACCTGTCTTTGTACTATTTCGTGCATATTTGTTGAGGAACCTACACACCTTAGTAACCGTTCACTAAGCAAGAGATTGTCTTCCATTAATGTATAGCCTTCCATTACCTAATAGAAGAATGTGTAAGAAGTGAAAAGTCTCCATACCTAAACCATACGCCTAAGCCTACACGTATTATCTATAAGTACATTATCTTCACTGTAGAGTCACCCCGTCCTTATGATCAAGGAGTTCTCGTTGCTCAACGCTTTTTCACGTAAGTTACCTTCCAGGGACAAACAATAAAAACACTACTTAAAGGGACTTCTCATCAGGTCACCACCAGTCTCCCCTAGTGATAAAGCTTATCTTGACCTTGACCTCTATGGGATCCTGAGGGATGCTGTGGGTCACGGAGACACACAGATTACTAGACTCAACTTTGACATTTATGCCCTGTCAATAACGGTTGGTTAATGTGCATGTGTTCAGTGTTCATGCGCCTTCGTCGTTCCCGATGAGCAGCTCTTTTGTTTCACCGCTTTGTCTGTTGAAAATATGTTTGTAAACAAAAAATGTGGTTCTGTTGGAAATTGGTTGGTATATTTTAGTTGGAACAGTTAAGACATACAAGCGTGGTTGAACATATTAGTAATAGTTTATGTTCACACGCTATTGCAAAATAAACAAGACTATGTCATGATTATTTCTTTAAGTTTATAAAGTTTGTTTATTTATTTTGTAAAGGCAATTATTTAAATGATGGTTGATTCTTTAATATTTTAAACTTTGTTAAACTTTGTTTAAACTTTTTTTTAAACTTTAGTACACATTTCATAGTATACAAGGCTATTAAGATGTTGGTTGATTGATATGTAATGTTATCTCTTTTCGTTGGGTTCAAATAATAATTTTGGTAAACTTAGTTGATATTATCTTTTAATACAAAACAGTCGTTTACTCTATATTTATAATATGCATTAGCCAAATAGTATTACAGTTTGTATTCAATTGATTTAATTATATCACTATGGACTTGTCACGTATGCATACTTTGAAAAAAGAAACTTGTTCGTAGTTTCATTTACTTTCAATTATCTGGTAAAACAAAGACTTCATTATCATAACGTGAGAACAAATAAAGACAACGGATGTAAAAGTCTTATTGATAATTTGGCTTTGAAGCAAAAGACGCATCTAGGGAGACAGAGTTTATTCTAAACTGAAAATTTTTCATCTAAAGTAAAAGGGTGAAATCCATTTAAAAAATATATAAAATCAATCAATGAACAACGATTACGAAATGTATCATGATTAATAGCTGTTTCGCATTATAAAACGTTGTAATACATTCATTTCAAGTGGAAATTATCCATCGAAGATTTTGAAAACCAACTCAATTATTAACTTTAGATACAAATACCAGGAAATCATAGAACTAAAATGTTCTATGATTATAATGACTATTATAAATTTTCAATGGCTATACCATTTCTACTGAGTTTGTAATTTGAAAGCTGCCAATATTATTACAATCCGGTGTTTATAAGAGAAATGTTCCCGAGTGGGACTATTCACGAGGGGTTCGCATTTCATATTATTTACAGGCTTATAAATATGAGCACAGTTAGGACTATGACTATTAACAGTGATTTCAGTTAAGACATTGTTAATTGGTCTGCATTAGTTATTGGTTTAACGGTAACTAAATTTTAATATCTTTAATTGGCTAACACCTAACGATTCCTATAAACACTCTTTTAGTGATGTTGAATATTCTAAATCGGATTAAGCTTGAGGAAACTGTACAGATTCAGAAACTTGATTGCCTGAAGCAGAAAAGGTATAGATGATAAGAGTACCTCTTAGTATTCCAATACTGCTATTCTGCTTATATAATTCGCTTGTATATTCGGCAATATAATTTCAAAAGAAGGTATGAGGAGGGTTTAAAGGTTTAGAACAGCGATGTGAGATTTGAGTTCTGCCTTAGCCACCGTTATCACGAGTCGCCATACAGAAAGGCCCCAAGTTTACTTCAAACATAATTTTATATAGAGTTGTGATCTGTCGTTGGTCGACAAAACTCTCACAGCACCTCTGTGGCAAACTCTTCCTTCGGCAGGATGTCTTTAGGAGAAGTAAACAAGACAAACGCAACCACTTCTCAAGGATTAACTGTGTGTTTGGGAGGAAGGACTTGCATTTTGGAGAGAGTAACAGTCAAGTATATGCACTGTATAGCAGTCAAGTCTTGATACAACATACAAAAAAATAACTGATCACAAAACACTAAAGTCTATAAAAGATGTAGGGTAAATAGCTCACACAATGGAACACTAATCACAGAGTTCACAATGACTCATAACACTATCACACTTATAACATACAAGCTGTACCCACGGGCTTTGCCCCGTTTAACTTCATAAGTGAGCTCGTTCGCATGGCTCAATCACTTCCTGGTTGAAGTTCGTTCGCTACGCTCACTCACCTTTAGGTTGGAGCTCGTTCGCTGCGCTCACAGTTCTTGGTTGAAGTTTGTTCACAGCGCTCACTCACCTTTAGGTTGGAGCTCGTTCGCTGCGTTCACACGTCTTGGTTGAAGTTTGTTCGCAGCGCTCACTCACCTTTACGTTGGAGCTCGTTCCCTGTGCTCACTTGCCTTCAGGTTAGCTCGTTCGCAACGCTAACTCGCCTCCGGATTGAAGTTTGTTCGCTACGCTCACTCACCTTTTGGTTGCAAATTAGCTGTTGTCAAAAATAAAAAAAAAATAATAGTGCTGCACTCTGTTGGTAATCCTTGTAACTTTAATGCTTTTGAACATCATAGAACAGAACCAACTTGTTTAATTGAAACAGCTGTTAAGATTCATTAATACCATTTAAATATAAGTACTCATAAGGTTAACATGGAAAACTGCAGAGCCACTGGAGCGGAGCCCGAGAGTCCGACCAGAATAAAAACCACTTAGTTTTCCTATTTAATGCCTAAAGAATCAGTGTACCAAATTTCAGCCTCCTAGGTAAATGGGAAGTGGGCGAATTAGTGATGAGTGAGTGAGTGAGTCAGTCAGTGAGTCAGTGAGGGCTTTGCCTTTTATATATATAGATAACATATTTACATACTTATGACATATTTAAAGTTTTTACAGTCATACCTTTATTGAAAAAAAAACATACGAGTAAAAGACCATTTATTTCGATTGGATTCTGCAATCATCCATGTCAATAGCACAATCAGTCCATTGAGCCGAATGTGATTGGAGTGTACAATCGAAATCGATCGCTCTTCAAGTCTTGTATGGATAACTACTGTAGGGCATGCATTTCAGAATCAGTGTAAATATGTTGAAGTTATTCAGGTAATATTTTACGCTTGTTTTAGTATTTTAGCGAATTTCCCTATAGGGAAGTAGCTATTACCGTAGGTCTCATGGTAAGACCTAAGCCCGGGACCGATTTACTTTTTCATTTTGATGTCCCCAGAGGCCAAAAACACCATTCGTTCAAATTTTTATATATCTATATATAGATATATATATATATATATATATATATATATGTGTGTGTGTGTCCATCCGCACGATAACTTGAGTAATTTTTGTCCGATTTTGATAAAATTTGGTTTGAAGGTGTAAGGCGGGATAAACTTGAACGAGTTCGCGAACCAGTATGATCGGACTATGGGAACGGGGGTTTATGGGGGGTTTTATGAGGTAAAAATAGGTTTTTCCCATTTTTGACCCTAAAAACACAAAATTTCACAATTTCTTTTTAAACCATTTTGTAGAGCTTAAAAAAACAAATAATTTAGTATATTGAAGCGTTACTATGCGCCTAATTGTTACGGAGAAAATTCAAAAAAATTGTAATTTTAAAATTCCCATGTTATTCTTATGGAGAATAAGTCAATTGTTGTAGTTTGCTTGTTTATGAACATATTTTGATCGATTTTGGAAAATACTTTTATTTCTTACTAAACTATTATCATTTTATAAAAAAAATCTTTTTTACCCTCCCTGTTGCAGCAAACCTAAGTACTCGTTAAACTAATTCTATTTAAATAGGAAATAAATGTGCTATTTTTATGGAGGCATTTTAGTGTAAATCCAATCAGGTTAATGGAAATTCGCTTAGTCTGCAGGTTTGCTGCGGCGGGGGTATTTCGTGTTCGTAGCATACATTCTCATGAATCTACTAGGAATACTTATTATCCTCTTCATTTTAGGCAATACCATGTATTCCTGTAGTTTCAATTTCAAATCATATTTTGACTTTTGTTATTTCACGATCCAAAAGTGAAAGCGTTTATAGGTGTTTATAGCGTCGTTTATGTGGAAGCGTATACATCTGAACATTACATAAAAATCGAACTTTGTCTTTTGACTTTTGGTGTTTCAAACAATGGCTTTTGTTTTTTGGTAATTAGTAGCCAAATATTTGACTAAGATTTACACTGTCACTAACACAGTCCAAATAAAACTCGTCACAATAAAATGGCAAGTTATTTAAGCAAAGGCTTCTTTAAAGCCAAACCAAAGTTTTGTACCGGTGACACAACTGTGGGAGAAATAACAATTCGTACAGTAGAACACAATGTTCGAGGATCATTCAATTTCTTTTTACTAAAATCCCTTACTACAACTGGCCATTCAGTGTTTAAGACGGAAGCCTGAACTATCAGAGAGAAAAGTACAGAGAAATTGCATGTTTAATTATAAGTATGTATTTATACTCTTAAGGGTTCCATCCCGACAATATAAAAAAAATCTGTTTCTACTCACAGAAAATTTGATTTCGAGGTTCGAGGTTGATTTAGAGGTTAAATGTAAGAAAGGACCATGAGCTCCTAAGTCCGCCTCAATAAAGAAGCATTTTTATTTCATTTCATTTCATTCGAGGTCAGGATGGAAAATGTGGTGGTA